GAGTTGGACAGGGCTAAAAAAACAAATCAACCACAACAAAACTGTGTGCCAGACACTGTGCTAAGGGCTTTACAGATATTCCTTCATTTGATCCTTACAACTTGGGCAGTTATGTGCTATTGTCATCCCTTTTTTACAGTTAAGAAAACTGAGGCAAACAGAGGTTAAATGACTTTCCCAGACTCACCCAGCTAGGAAGTATAACGCTGCCTTTGAACTCAGGTCTGCCTGACTCCAGACCCAGTGCTCTATCCACTATACCACCCAGCTGCAAAATGGTCATATTTGAGGTTATCTCAAGTGTTCATTGGCGTTAGATGACATACTGCCATTAAAAAGTTATGTAGGAGATGATGGTTTGAAAGCATGGCAGGGTAGAATGAAAGCTTTCTATTTTTCTTTTTAAAGTGCCTAGTGAAGGGGTCTAGTGCCATCTCTAACATAGACGAGACTGGAAAGTCTGTTTCTGAAACAGCATGACGTGTTCTTCAGTTTGGAGCGCGCACAGCTGGTTCCGATCTACTCACCATACGGTAAGGAGTTGGACAGTTGATTGGCTATGTCACTGGAAGCACTGATCAGTCTGGTCTTAGCCCTTGCTTTGCTCTCTTTTCTGCCAGAGAAATAATGACAAGAAGAGAGTGCCTTGGGCCCTCCTTATCCAAAGCTGACACACGACCTGTTTTTGGATCATGTATCTTTGCTTCTGTGTCTTGTTTTAGGTGAAGAGTATTGATGTGGGCTTCCAGAAGTCAGAAGATTAACCCATAAGAAAGAAATCCAGGAGCTATTTGCTGGAACCTAGGAAGTGAGAAGTAAAGCCCTGAGTGATCTGCCTGACCCAGTCTAAAAATAGGATATATGCAAACTTATCTGCCACCCATCAGCTCTGCCAAATTGGGAAGTGAACTCATTGAGATGAATGCAATGTAAAAACTATATTGAGTTTGCATTCACTCTCTCCAGAGTGGTATAAGGAAGAGTATGTCTCGGGTATTGGGGGGGAAATGCTTGTATTTCTGTGCTTACTACATCTCTAAAGTAAATATCCCACAATAAAAAAGTCATCTTAATTGGGCTAAGGGTGCAAATAACTGGTGGCTAACAGTACAGATGATATGCCAGAACCCCACTGACTCTTAAGGGGTAACTTTAGGACCCCAACAGGGAAATATAGCTGGCTTCACTATGGAAGAATGAGTCCTGAGTACCAATACAAAATTGGAAACCTGAGCATGTTTGTAGGCATCAGGGATGGACCAGCAGATAGAGAAATTGAATATGAAAGTGGGAACAGAATTGATGGGTGGAACTAGCTCCCAGAGAGGGTGAGTAAAGAAAAAGGACTGAAGTAGAGGTGTTAGTTTAGGAAAGGAGAAGAGATATTTTCTTCTGAGATAAAGCATTGGGGAAAAAAATGATGCATGAAGACAGAGAGAGGAGAGAGCTTATAAGAGAAAGCCTTTATTTTCTCAGTAAATAAAGAGGTGGAGTCATCTACTGAGATACCAGGGTGAGGCTTCAAGACGAAGAAGGAGGATTGGGAAAGCCACTCCAAGTAGTGTAATAAACTAAATCAGTGAAGAATAAAAACATTGCCATTCAGCAGTGAAAGCTCAATTAAAATGAGATGACCTTATTTTATCGTGGACCCAGTAAGCAGTTTCATGACTGCCACCAGTGACATCTGGTCACTTGGAAGCAGTAGCAGAGAAGATGGATGGTGGAGGGAACCCAAGTTTGAGGATTGGGAGAGCATGAACAAGAGGACAATGGAGCAAAGGAAGCCCTGGTAGAAGACAGCGTCCAGTTGAATTGACTAGCAATGTGGTCAAGAATGGGGCCAAGCTATGGGAAGAAAGTAAAGCTAGAACCCAGACAATAGACAGGGAGGGATGGTGGGACTAGAGGTCATGGAGAGGACAAAGAATAGATTTAAGAGAAATGAGGCAGAGGGAATGATGGAAGAACAAGAAATTATGATCAAAGTAATTTTTTCTAAAATGTCACTCTCTCCTGCATGAGCTCCAGTGACTCTCTCTCTTACCTCCAGGACCAAATGTAAAATCCAATGTAAAATGTAAAATTCCATCTCTGGAATACTCTGCTACCTCATCTCCATCTCCTGGTTTCCTTGGCTCCCTTCCAAACTCTGCTCAAAGCTCGCCTCTTTTCAGGAAGCCTCTCCTAGTTCCCCTCCCTGTTCATGCCTCCCCTTTCGGACTACCTTCCATCTACGTCGTACATACCATGGCTGTACCTAGTTATTTACATGTCATCTCCTTGAGGATAGAAACTACTTTTTGCCTTTGCATTTCCAGTACTTAACACAGTGCCTGGCATGTAGTAAACACTTAATAAATGCTTCTTCACTGCCTGACTGACAAAGAGAATTTCAGAGTACAGAATCATATAAGTGGTGCAGTCTGAGGTGATGCTGAGGTGTAAGTTGTGGCTATTCCTGTGAGTGGTTGGAGATGCAGGTTTTGAAAACTGAAAAGGTTGATGAACTGGGAGGCTAGGATATTTGAATTGGGCATTAACATGAGAAATGAAGACCCTGAATGTGAGGACAGGTGCTGGTTGTGAAAAGAAAAATTGTGATCCATGTGCTGAACTCCTTTCAGAAAGGAAAGAACATGACTTGAGGGCTGGAAGAACAAGGGATTAGGATCAAATTCCTTTTTTTCTAAAATATAGATCTGACCATGTCTCCTCTTGGTCTGATAAGTTCTAGTGACTCTCTTACCTCCAGGACCAAATATTCAATTCCAAGGGATTGGACAGGGTTATATCAACCATCAGACAGAGCAGTGGTTAAATAAATGGTGGCCGATGGGGCAGCTAGGTGGTGCAGTGGATAAAGCTCCGACCTCAGAGTCAGGAAGACCCGAGTTCAAATCAGACCTCAGACACTTGACACTTACTATCTGTGTGACCTTGGGCAAGTCACTTAACCCTGATTGCCTCACCAAAAAAAAAAAAATAATGATGGCCAAGGGAGGGCACAGAATTGCCATTGGGGAGGAGTATGCCAACTCTCTCTTATAGCCTGCGATGGTGGGAGACATCAAAGGGAGCCAAGGATGAGTGGTTATAAGGAATGATCTGGGTTTCATTAAACAAGAGGAAATAGAAAGCATGTGGGAAGAAGAGGTCTAGGGGAATTTGTTCCTGAGAGAGAAGGGGATTCCAAGGACAAACTGGAAGAGGTAAATAAGTCAAAAAACAACATATGGGCAAAGGGTTGTCCTTGAAACAAAGTACCCGGAAATGTCTAGCAGGGGGTAGGGATGGCATTTGTACATGCCCATTTGTTTCAGTGATCCCTAGAAAGAGTTTTGACATTTAAACGTTTTTCCTGATTGGAAAATCTGGATATTGTCATTTCGAAACAGCAGTTACCTTTGACAGTGAGAGCTATGAGAAGATTCACAGTTCAAGCCCAGGTTACACCCAAGATCCAACTTTTCCTTGTGGAAATTCAGCTCAGTTCTGGTCTTCTCATTTTTTCCAGTAACTACCTTTTACTGAAACCCTCTACAAGTCAAAGTCACCCTTGGCAGTTTATAGGAGATTTTTTTTGACTACACATAACAGCACCAAGCTTTTTTGCATAAACAATTTTATGGATTCTTCACTGAACATTTCATACATAATTTATCTCCTGCTGATTTGTTAAGGTCGTAACTGGCCAATCTATAACTAGAATACTACGTAGGTGGAATGCCAAGGAAGTGATTTTACTTGTTTTACTCTTCCTTGTGAAATGTCCTGATGAAGAAGCACTTAACTTTTTGAGGTCTGATTAAGTGATTGTAAAATAATATTTTACAATTATTCAAAATACATGATTTTGATTCTAAGAAACCAATATAGTAGCACATATATGTATACATATACATATACATATATATATAATAGAAAATAAATAAAGAAATATCTCTTAAGCTGTAATAGCTCTACAGGAATATCTGGAGGTGCCTTATAATAATAATACTCATGATTATGCATGCTTTGCACTTAAAGTTTGCCAAATGCTTTATATACATCATTTCATTGGAGCCTTCCAGCCTTCTACCTTCAGAAATAGGTACTATGGGTATCATTATCACCATCTTATAGAAGAAGAAACAAATTCAGAAGAGTCTTTGTCCATAGGTAAGCAGCTAATATCAGAAGGATTTGAACTCAGGTGAAAGCAACATAAAGTAAAATAGATAAATAAATAAATACATAATTGGCATGTTAGCCTCTTGGCTGGCTGTCAATTGTTTACAAAAGTTTTTGCTTCTCTCCTGGGTGGGACACGTATACTTAGCTATGTAAACAGAGATGTTCCACTTCCTCGCAAGAGCTAGCCCTGTGTGGTAACTCTAAACATTCTTTTAAGAGTAGCTAGAATTCTGTTTTTAAAGATACCCAACTGCTGCCTTCCCGGAAGGCCTGGCGAGTAACTGCAGAGTTTGGCCATGGTTAAACTGCCTCTTAGGATTATTACCACCCCTTCCTCCACAACAGAACATCCGGTCTGTCCTACTGGCATTCTTAATAGTTTAATCCATTTAGGAGGAGAATTATTTGGCCTTGCTGGTTGCCAAGGACTGTTGTGTCCTTCCAAAAGGACGTGAAAGCAAGCTGTATTCACTGCCTAGCCACTCACTCAACAGGTCATTATGGGGAAAACATTTTTGTAAATCTTAAACTGCTATACAAATGTGATGTTATTAGTATTATTATTTATTACTATTACAGATCTACTCAACAGTTGATAGTGGGTGAAATTTTAATGTGTAGGTAACAATCCACTAGGCTATCACAAATAAGTCACATAACCTGCTTTGTGAGTTCTGTTTTCTTATGCTGAAGTGGCAAACCCCAACAATTGCTAAATAAATGCTCAAATTCATTCACTAAATGACAGTTTAAAAGTATAAGCTAAACACAAACCCTATTGAGCTTTAAACAACGAGGCAAAAAAAAGGCACAAATGACAAAGCTTCAATATTGTATGGATTATATGGAATTATAAGGGCAAAACAATATTGTACAATCCACCTATTGGCTACATTAGGGAATGGGTCTATTCTTTGATCTCCTTCTTCCTCTCCCTCCACCTCCCCATGGACTAGAATACACTGTTGCTGCAAAATATTTTTCCCCCTTGGAAAGAGCCGAAGCATCAGAATGTAGGCTTCTGCAGCTGTGGTGAGTAATCCGTCAGCAGGGAAACCATGACAGCCTGCAGTGGAGATGAAAAGAGAAAGAAAGAAATTAATATACATCAGAAACGAATGTGGCACGAGAACCAAGTGGAGGGAGGAAAACGGGCCTGGGATAAAAATGAGCTTTCTCAAGCAAATCACAATTCAGACTGTGCTTTGTCAAGATGCTGAAACATCTGTAATGATAAGGGGATGATTCTGTGCTATATTTGTTTTTATGCAGATGAGGAAAGGTCAAGATGGAGCAGACTGGCCCAGTACACAGGCAATCCATGTAGCTCCTAAGGAATAATTCTAGGGTGGAATAGAGAAAAAGTAGATGCTAGAGTGCTGTCCAGGAGTGATGTTTGCGACCTTGAGTGAAGCTTGAGTAGTGAGGTTCTATGGGTCATCACACGCCCACTGTCCACTATGGTACTTACTATAGCCAGGATGGATCAAGGGAAGTTTGAGGGGAGTCAGATGAGGATCAGCAAATTTTCTTGAGGTTGGCGAGCCTCTTGGGTTATTGTGTATAGAGTGATGAAGCAGACAAATGGCTTGGGTTAGAGGCCTCATCTGAGGCTTTCTAGCCTTGCAATTTTGGGCACTAGTCCAGGGTTATAGTGAGGGTAAAAGAGATGGCACATGTGGAAATGTTTGGAAACTGTAAAGTGTTATATAAATGCCAGGTGCAATTCAACAGCACTTACTGTCAGCTTTCCTACGAAAAGTTGCAGTGGTAATAGCTTCTCTTCAGTCTGCCTCTCGATTTTGGAAGGCTCATCTCCCTGCTATCCACCCCAGTCATCTCTTGATTTTTGGCTTCAAACCTCTAATATATACCTATCCCTGACCTATACACAGTCTATCTGTTCATGTCTTGGTTTAACATTTATGTTCCTGTGTTTTCTCTGTAATTGTTTATCCATAACTTTCTTGGTTTGTAAACCCCTTCCTTGAGGGGAGCGGCAGGTTAACAAGATGGCGCAGTGGATAGAGAGCAGGGCCTGGAGTCAAGAAAACCTGAATTCAAATCTGGACTCAAATGCTTACTAGCTGTGTGACCCTGGATGAGTCACTTAATCCTGTTTGCCTCAGTTTCCTTATCTGTAAAATGAGCTGGAGAAGGAAATGTCAAACCACTCCAGTATCTTTGCCAAGAAAACCCCATATGGGATCGTGAAGAGTTGGACATGACTGAAAAATGACTCAATAAAAAAAGTGAATGTTTTTCATTTCAGTTCAGAGGAATCACAAGGAACTAGAATGGGCAAGGGATTTTAAAGATGGTTTAATCCAGAACTCATTTGCAAATTAAAAAAAAAGAGAGAGGGAAGGAACAAACATTTCTATAGTGCCTATTATGAATCAGGCATTTTGCTAAGCACTTTGCAAATATGATCTCATTTGATCCCCACAGACCCTGGGAGGTAAGCGCTGTTATCTTATCAGGTGAGGAAATTGAGATAGACGGAGGTTAAGTAACTTGCCCAGGGTGACACAGCTAGTGTCTGAGGCTGGTTTTGTATTCAAGTATCCCCAACTCCAAGCTCAGGTGTCTATCCACTGTGAGACCTAGCTGACTGAGTCAGAGCTGGGATGCAAGCCCATGCCTCCAGAATACTGTGTTCCTTACAAAATTACACGAATTTAAATTTTGTTTTAAAAATTTATTAAATACTTTATGTTTGTAGAGCAGTGTTCAAGGTGCTGCGGGAGGTAAGAGTTCAGATAAGACATGATTCTTGCCCTCATGCAATTTAGTTTACTAATAAGATAAGTTGTTGTTAAGTCATTTTTCAGTTGTGTCTGACTCTTTGTGATCCCATTTGAAGTTTTCTTGGCATTTTTTTGAGGAGGAATGTTGCCATTTCCTTCTCCATCTCATTTTTTGCAGATGAAGAAACTGAGGAAAACAAGATTAAGTGACTTGACCAAGGTCTCAGAGTTAGTAAGTGTCTGAAGCCAGATTTGAACTCAGGAAGACTCATCTTCCTGACTCCAGGTCCAGCGCTCTATCCACTGTTCCACCTGGCTGTCATAAGACAGAATCACAAATATGGTGCATAATAATATAAAATATCACATGACAAATACATTAGAGTGGTATATAGCCAAGTAGTAGGTGAGAGCATTATATGGTGGAATAACTCTTGAATTCAAAATCTGTGGATCCACATTTAGATCTCAACTCTTTCACTTATTACCCATATTACTTTGGACAAGTCATTTAACCTTTCTCTCTTCATCTGTAAAGACATCATCAGTGGATAGGACACCAGGTCTGAAGTCAAGAAGACTCATCTTCCTGAGTTCAAATCCAGCCTTAGACACTTATTAGCTACATGACTTTGGACAAGTCACTTAACTCTGTTTGCCTCAGTTTCCTCATCTGTAAAATGGCTGGAGAAGGAAATGGCAAACTCCTGCAGTATCTTTGCCAAGAAAACCCCAAATGTGATCACGGAGAGTTGGGCATGACTGAAAAACAACTTCATCTGTAAAACGAGAGGATTGGACTAGATGTTTTCAGTGGTCCATCACCATTCTATATCCTAGGGGAAACATCTTTGAGGTCATCTAGTCCAGCCCCTTTATTTTATTGATGGTCAAACTGAGGTCCAGAAAAGTTAAATGACTTGCCTAAAGTGACACAGTGAATGGAAGAGACAAGATTTGAACTCAGGTCCCTGGTCATCACTCTTTTCATGCGACACCAAAAATATTGAATATAGGATTAGGAAAAGCTTCGTGGGGGAGATGTTTTATTAAAATGGCAACAATACTTATGGGATAATA